AGCTGGAAGTGCCCAGCCAAGGAGATGGGATATGTGGAACAACCTTCTTACTGAGAGCATTTACAGAGGGAACACCCAGGGGGAGGAACCCCCTGCCTGCCAAGCTTGGTGTCAGCTCTGAGGCAGAATTTGGAAAGCAATAAATAAATAAATAAATAAATAAATAAATTATAAGATGTTTTTTAAGTGCTGATATCTGCAGTTCTGTTGAGGTGCCCCCAGTCTGTCCAGAAGGTGTTTCAATCATTCAGAGCTATAATTCACATCAACCCTTTTGAGTGTCCCTCTGTTTGTTGACTGTTGTCGCTGGACCCCCTAAATGCACCTGGGAGTGAACACCTCAGGACTGTAAAGAACTGGCAGCTCTCCCAAAGGTAAATTGTTAACTGTTAGCAGGATTATTAAGTACTCCATGACCCCTTCCAATTGCAGCTTACCTATTGAAAAGAGCAGCTTTTTTAATGCTGGATGTTTTCTGCAGATTGCAATAATCACTCCTTCAGGCAGTCATATTTTTCCTATTTATATAAAACTGTGTTCTGGCTGTGAGTAAGAGATTAAATAATCCTGGAGTCTCTTCTGCTGGAGTAACATTTTGATGAGTGGTTACTGTAATCAAGTTAGTGTAATTAATTTCATAATGAGCTTTTCAAGAAACCTGTATTTGATTTAATTTAATGTATCTCCAAGATGTTGGTCACATGTTTTGGTAATCCTGCAGAGGAGATGTTCTTTTGATCACAGTTAGGGAAGCTAATTAGCAATGGAATGGTTTCCCATGGAAAAGGCAGATTCTGATTTAGAGTGGGACTTTCACCTGGGATGATGAGGATGGACAGGGATGGGCCATAAATGAGGTTAACTGGGACTTGGAAGGTATTTCTTTCATAGTCTGGGTTTTCTTTTCTTGATAGGTTAATTGTATCAGACAAAGTGACTTTATTGACTATATATGAGTCAATAAATAAGTTCAGTAAGGGTGTTTGGCTAAAGCTTTCTCTTTATTCAGGATAAATGCAGTTTGTATTAAATGATGGTGCAGTCACTGATCATTTTTTGCATTTTTTCACAGTTGTGATCCCTTTATCTTCCAGCAGTTCCTCAGGGTTCCCAATCTACCTTTCTCCAGTGTTGCTGATGGAGCTGCTCTCCTGACCCCTCCATCCCCCTCAGCTCCACCAGCAATTCTGCCCCTCCCTTCCAAATTCCAATTCCTTACTCCAAAATATGGAGGTAGAAAAGCTTCTTGAAGAAATAGGTGTGTCTCAAGCACTAAGAGGGGTTTAAAATAATTTCCATCTTTGTGCACAGAAATGACTAATTATTTTGACTGGGAATTCAGGGGAGAGACAGGAGGGTGGGAATACCAGTCTGAGACAGATGCTTCAGTGTATAATTTCAGCACAAACTCTTAATTTGGCCAAGCTACAAGAAACTGAAAGCAGTTTGAAGTGTTTTAGGGCTTCAAGGAGAAGAGATTTGATACAGTGGTTACTTTTTCTAGAGTTCTCCTACTTGTGGAATTCACATTTAATTTTACACAAAGTCATTTCACAAGTGTGTCCTGGAATGTTGGGCTGGGAGAGGGATGATACCTCCATCACACTCATCCTCCCCATGAATTTCCCTTCTCTCTCCAAAGAATTAGAAATAATTGTCCATAAAAAGATTCTTTCTGAAGATTTTTTTTTTCCCCTCTTACATGAGAATAGGTTTGTCTGCCCTGGTGAACCCTTCTATTTTAAGGAAGGAAAATCCAGACTTGGCTGTTGTCTTATGCAGAGTCACCGGTATTTAAATACAGATCATTAGGGTTCAAAATTAAATAATTGAGTGTGCATTGTCTCAAACTAGGTAAATTATGCACACTTTTATACCCTCAAACCACACATTATTGTAATTGGTACAGATATTTCCTCTTGTTTTCCTTCCCAGACAATGTTCTGGTTCTTGGTGTTAGAAAGGTTTGGGTAAAAGCGATGCCTGTTCTGAAGTGTTACAGTTTGAAAAAGGTGATGTAAAACCCAGCACAGACTTCCTTCTCTTTAAAAAGAATAAAATCCATTTTTTTTACACAATGATTGGGGTTTGTTTGTTTGCTGTTGTGTGTAATGTTAATTTATCCATCACGAGCTCCACCACGGTTATCACAAAGCTTTTTGCTGTTTCGGGTCTTGTCATCTGCCATGGAAGATAATGGTTTTTTTTTTTATGTGAAAAAAAGTCATTGTAATTGGTTATACCACGTAAAAGAATAATAGTTAATTGTCAAAACAGTTTTTCCAAGGAAACTTTGGGGGGAAATGATTTAATTGTTCACTTGGAAAGCCCTTGGGAATGTTGTTTTCCAGGTCTTAAGCTGTAATTAAGGTGCAGTCATTTCAGTGTATCCCTCCTAAAGTTCCCAATTTCCTAAATTACCGATTCCCTCCCTGCAAACTGCTGCTGAACAGCAAATCCTGACTGGGGTACAAGTTCTTTTTTTTTATTTATTTTTAGCCAAGTTGCTGAGCTTTGCTGGTTTTGTTGGGTGGTTTGTGTTGTTTGTTCAGTACTTTTGGTGTCTCCAGGTGAGCAGAAATAATTGTATTTCGCTGTGTATCTAATTATAAACCACGTTTGACAACGCATTTCCTAACTCAGTATTGTAATACCTTTCGCTGCTTGTTTTGCTGTGTCTCCTCAAACACCTCCTGAGCTTTGAACACATCACACTCAGTGTGGGATGCAGAGAATCACTCAGGAACCACCCAGAAAGATACTTTGCGTCTGAAACCTCAATTAGTATTTCAAATCCTTAATTACTTTATGGCATGCCGTCCTTTCTTTATGTAGGGCACTTCTAAAATGGATAATTCTTAAAAAAAGCTTTTCCTCTTTGTATGCCCTGTTGCATTTTTCTTCATTTTCAGTGTAGTAATTGCAGTGTTTTATTGATATCTCTGTCCTTTTCTCAACAGTTTTCAAAGTCTTGTTAATGTGATGGCATAAACCGGTAAAGCCCTTGGATTTGCACCATGGAAATCAGCAATGGTGATATTATTTGATATTATTTGATATATTATTTGAGTGGCACAGGAAGAGTCTGCTGCATGAAATGCCAGGAGTTTTTATTTCTTCTAGTTTTGCAATGGTAAGTTTTTTCATTTTCTTTAGGAACCAGCAAGTCAGTCAAGGTTTATTCTTGCATATGATTTCTGTTGGGTGCAGGAGTGACCACCAACCAAAGCTTGCATTAGAATTTGGTTTAGTTCATGTCATCAGTGCTGATTTGAGGTGTCAGGTGCTCATCCTTCAGTGCCGGAACAACCAGGGAGAAGTGGAATATGTAAATAAAACTTGCTTTTCCTGTTTGGGTTCAACCCCAGATGTGATCACCCTCCACAAACCACTGAGCTGCTGTGCAGAAAAAAGGAGAACACCCAGACAAGCTTATCCACGTGGAAAAAATAGGGGTAAAAACCCATTCTGGACAACACAGAATGTTTTTCTCTCTCTCCAGGTCAGCCCCTGATGTTTTGCACGTTTGCCCTTTGCCGTATTATTTACATTTTCTCGGAGGGCATTGGGCAAAATGCAGTTTGGAAAGTTCCCTTTGTGATTGTCTTTTCCTTGTTACACAGAATGATGTGCTGTCTTACAGGCAATACTTTTAATTATGAATTCCTAAACATACTAATTGCTGTTAATTGTCAAACAGAATTGTGCTGGTTAGGAGTGTGCTGGTCTTGTTCTCTTTTCTGTGCTGGGACCATATGACACTTAAATTCTCACAAATCTACTGTTTTATGTTCTTTTTTTTTTTCATCTCCTTGGCTGAAAATGAAGAACACCTATTGAAACTCTTTCCAAGTAACGCAGGAAAAGTTTGATTCCATATTTAAAATTTTAAGTCTTGACATCAAGTGTCAGTTGAGCAGGTCTGAAATGTGAAATACAGACATTCCCTAGTGGGCTGTTTTAAACTCCTCTTTGAGTCTGAATTTACTTAAATCTGCTGGAGGTGATGATTCATCTCACCAACTGGATGGAAAGTTTAAAACGGGACGAGACTTGGGAAACCTTCTGGTCCCTCAGAGGAGATTCCTGAGAGAGCCAGGCTTCTTGTTGTAAGTGATGCAAAAACACACCTGGGCATGGGAAAAAATGTTTTCATTGTGAAGACAAACACTGGCACAAATTACCCAGAGAGGCTGTGGGATATCTGTGCTCAGTGTTTCTGAGACCCAGCTGGTGGACAGTGTCCCATGGAGCTACATCTGAATTTAGTCCTGATTTTCCTTCAGGGTTACCTTCCAGAGTCCTTTCCAAGTGGAATGATTGTATGATTCTGAGTCAGAGATTTTATTTCATTTTTACTCTTAATGACTGTAAGTATTTTTTTTACTGGCGTGCTCTGTTTTTTTTTTTTTTTTTTGATTCCCTGTTAAATTAGAATTGCAGTCCTCATTAATAAGTGATTTGGTTTTGCTTGAAGCGACAAGTGAGCAAGCAAATGTGATTTTAACGATTTACTTCTTCGTGTGTGAAACCATGTAACTGGAAATGGTGGGATATTAGGAATGCAGGCTCCTACCTCTCACTAGAACAGACAATTAATAATACAGTCCATTATCACGTAGGTACAATACATAAAAACAGTGTGTTTGAGTGACTGGAGCCCAAGTGGAACATTCCAGCCTTACATAAGGCACAAATATGAACAACATTCCCACACAGATACTAAAACCAGAACAACCACAAATACCAAGTCAGCTACTTTGTAGCTGAGATGGAAAACTTTTTAATGACCCGGAGAAGTAGCACGGGAAGGAGTGGTGTGAGTGCACTGCAGGGCTTGCTCAGTTTGACACTGCTGTGTCTGCGACAGAATATTCCACAGATTTGCTGGGTCTGGAGGTGCTTTTTAAATATTTCTTTCTGACTGTTCCGTTTCCGTCTTTCTGAAGGTTTCCCGATGAGCGCATCAGGATGAACACGCTTTAGGGACTCGCCGTAGCATGGCTGCTTCTCGATCCACTCGTGTGACAAGATCTACAGTGGGTTTAAACGGTCTGGATGAAAACTTCTGTGGCAGAACCCTGAGGAACCGCAGCATCGCTCACCCCGAGGAGGTCTCGCCCCACCCTCAGATCCGGTCGAGGTCACCAAAGAAGAGGCCCGAGGCCGTGCAGGCCCCCAAGGGCACCGCCGGCGGCAGAGCCGCTGAGGTGAAGCAGCAGAGCGCTCGGGAGCCGTGGGTGAGCCCCAGGAAGAGAGGGCTGTCATCCTCCGAGAAGGACCATGCGGACAGGCAGCCCGCCGAGCACGGCGAGAGGCGGCCGGCGGAGCCCGCGTCGCCCGTGCTGAAGAGGATCAAGCGCTGCCTGCGCTCCGAGGCTCCCGCCGGCTCCGAGGAGCTGCCTCCCAAAGCCGACAGGGAGCCGGCCGAGCGCAAGAGCTCCGGCTCGGACAATGACGCGGCCGCCAAGCGGGCTTGCCGGTGTCTCCTACTGGATGATTGTGAGAAAAGGGAGGTTAAAAAGGTGAACGCCTGCGCCGAGGGGTTGCACAACTCCGCGGCGGCCGAGGAGGTGGCGGGTTATCAGGCTGTCAATGGAGTCGGGGAGAGGGACTCCAATTCTCTGGGCTGTGACGAGTGCCAGCTCGATGGGAACGCGAAGCAGAACAGCGCCGGTTCCCGCCCGCCCAAGGACAAACCGGTAGCAGAAAACGGAAACTCGTTTGCCCACTCTTCGCCGCTGCTTCCCAGCGGCAAAGAGGACGGTGTCGTAGACCATTATGTGCCTTGCACAAACTCTCAAGAACAGGTAAAGTTGGAGGACCACAAAACAATAAATGACTGCTCGCCCGAGGAGCGTGGCAATCAGGCCTACGAGCCAGCCCCGGGGTCCTTTTCTGAAACCCAGCCATCTTTGCTGAGGGACTCGGAGGAGGAGGTGGACGTGGTGGGAGATAGCAGTGCCTCTAAGGAACAGTGTGCTGAGAACACCCCCAGCAGCCCCAGCGCTCACCACGACAGTGCAGCATCCATCTCAGGTGAACCTGAAGCGCGTCCCGCGGCGCTGAACTGCGCGCCAGCCCCGGTGACGTCCGTGCTGGACCTGCAGGAGCACAGATACACGTTGAGAACTTCCCCCCGCAGGGCCGGTCCCGCCAAAAACAACTCCCCCTGCCGAGAAAACGGGCAGCTGGAGGAGAACAACCTCAGCCCTGCTGATAAGAACGGACCTGTAGGTATCCCCAACGTCAACGGATCCCCCCAAAAGCCCGAAGAAATCAAGCAGAACGAGAAGGAGAGGAGTTGTAACGCGGGGGATAGCGGGAGTGACGCGCTGAGGAAGCCACTTGCTGAGGCTAGGCTTGTTGCTGGATGTGTCCCATCTGCCAAAGAGAGTGCCAACATCCACCCCGCAGAGGAGGATGAGGAAGAGCCCGATGTGTATTACTTTGAATCAGATCATGTGGCATTGAAACACAACAAAGAGTATGTGTAACTATGGTAACCATGAATTCTGCTTTTGTTTCTTACCAAAAAAAAAAAAAATAGAGAGAAATCGTTAAGTATTTCGAGTCCTTCCACACAAAAAAAAAAAAAAAATCGAAGCGCTTTATAATTTTCATACCCTTCAGTCTTCGTTTTTCTTCCTTGTTTCTACCTCAAACGAAATTAAACTCTATTTAATATGCAGTATGGTACAGCAATGTGGTTTATACATTTCTAGCAATAGGAATTCTTTAGCCAGAACTTTTTTTTTTTTTTT